TGTGATATCGTCTTGTATTTAATTCAACGGATTGAATTAAAGTTAATCGTTTAAGTTTACAGATACCAAGCCAACAGTAGTAAATATTGTATCTTTATTGAGTGAGTTCTTCTGAAATTCGAGACTAGGGAATTGTATCGTTTTTTTTTTTTATGAATCATTTTGTGAATTTGTACAATCATAGAAACGACAAATAACAACAAACTTTAGATGATAAATGGTGCATCATCCTTGGTTAATAAAAACACAGACTAAAATCACTTTTAACTAAAAATTTCAATTACTGATATAAAGTTCAGATAACTTATCAATCAGTTATATTGCATGTCTATGTTATTAAGAGGAATAATAAAAAATACATTTGAAGGGAATCAGCAGAAGTTGCTTATAGTCTTTTTTTTTCTTTGTTGTTGTTTTGATTTTGATTTTGACGGCGAAAAAAAACTTCCTGAATATGGTAAAGCGCAGAATTTACACCTATCAGTAAAGTTGAATTATTTTAATTAACTCATGTAATTTCAGATTTCGGTCTTTTTAATTTCTTATTGTAGTTCATCCAGATGATTTAATTGCTAGATTAAAATAAGAGATAACTTGCATTAACAGAAAATGGTCATATGCCTAACTCAACAATAGGTTCGATACAACCCGGACGAAGATATTCATAGCTGTACCCACACATCCAAGCACTTCCAACCCCGGGAGCCGCACGTTTAAGTAAGTTCCCTACAACATCATGTAATAAGATTTATGTCGTCTTTCAAGATGAAGGTAAAAGATTATTTTTTTAAAATAATTCAGCGGTTCCATTTATAATTATTGCCAATTCCGGTAGATCTGTTCAAATTTATTTGAGTACCTTCTTATACAGAACTTTAGTCCTTTGAATGCATTAAAATCTACAAAAATTAATGCCTTTTAAAATATTATTCTTTTCCTTAATAAAAAATTTGCTTATAAAAAAATTTTTTTACGAGTTATAATAACATAGATCTTACTATTTTGAAAATACTTGAATCTAGTATAATTCCTGACTGAAATAGAGAGGACGAGTGATGGCTCAAAAAAATTTTAAAGTTAAATCAAGTCGAAAAATTTTAAAACTTTAACTCGACTCAACCTTAAGTTAAATTTACTTAAGTCTGATTGAGTTACGTTTAAATAGAAATGATACAAGAATTATTGTATACTTCAGAAAAAAAGTCAACAGTGATGAACAAAACAAAGTGAGTGTATTTGAGCTATTGCATAATTTCTGTATCGCATCGCATTACAGGTTTTTTACTTGATTTATAACTGTGTGAGATCATAATTTTTTAACATAAAACAAAAACTAGATCCTATTCACAACCCTTCCTTCAAAGTTCACAGCACGAGATTGGCATGTGCTTGCTGTCTGAATTGGTCTTAATTTTCGATATTTTGCATGTTCTGCTCTTTTTTCTTCCTATAATGAAGAAGATATTAATATATGTTAATATAAAATTATGATAAAATAAATTATTTCGTACCATCGAAACTTCATTATCATTGTAAGCCAATCTGACTTTGAGCACTTTTTTTTGAGCCGCCGGTTGGGAGTTTGAATGTGCTGCGTTGTTCATTGCAATTTCATTTATAGTCATTTCTCTATCGGAAGGAACTGCGATTTGTGGATATGTCGTCATGACAGTATTTGCAGCGTAAGGAGCATATGATGGCTGACCTGATGAAGACATTCCAGAATTTGGAACTTGTGAGTAAATTTGAGATGCAGGTGCATTATTATTAACCAAAAGAAGTGGATAGACCGCTGATTGTCTCATTGTAGTTGGTTGAATCTGTCTTCCATATGGTAGTTGACTGACACCTGATACCGGAAGACTCCATGGTAGAGATTTTCCAGGAACTTGACTTGATAATGTGTAAAATATGTTAATATAAGAATGAAATCAAAATAAATAATTAGTTTCTACTAACCCCGGTCGGTATGGAGAATCAGGTAAATATATTTGAGTTGAAGTAACACCAGGACTTTGATAAAATTGACTATACTGGTGAGGTATCAACGATGCCATATGTTGTTGTACGGTATAACCAGAATGAAGGAAATATTGGCCAGCTTTTGAATTATTTTTCATCATTTCTTGATGTTGAGCAAGTCGCTTTTTAATTTCCTCACTAGAAAGTTCCATAGGTTCTTCAACTTTAACTCTCTTTGATGGCTGTTTGTTTTCAATTGCACGCATATGAGCTATCATATCAGCTTGGGGTATTCCTTCCATACCGAATATCTCTACTTTCGTTGATTCCCGTCCTTTTAATGCATTTGAAACCCTAAAATCAATTTTAAATGGATGAACAAAAATAATTAAGTAATTAAAATTTTCTTATAAACTTAAATAAGACTATCAAGCAGCCTTAATTTAATTTATTTTTTTTATAATGAGCTTTGAGATTTGAGATAAAAATTAAAAATACATCAAAAATTTATGAGCTTTTGAAATTATTTTATCCTTACGTGTCAATTGTTTCTTTGTGAACCTGGGCTACATGAAAAACCATTCCACCCGCCGTGTTAAATTTTTTATTACAGTGAGAACACTTAAAGTGCTTTGCTTTTTGATGTAGGACTAAGACCTTTTCATCTTCAAAATCCCTTTCACAATACCTATTAAATAAATAACAATTAGTTATCTAATAAACTTGGTTCCTATAATTTAATCGAACTTACCAGCACCATGGACGAACTACTTTCTTATTTTTCTTGTTTACCATATTATTTAAACTATGTTGGGGTTTCTGTAAATTTTGGTAAATAACTTGACGTTTATCGTTAAACTAAATATTTATGATCGAAACTTTTTTTTTAAAAAAAAAAAAGCTTTTTTATATCGTATATCATATGATCAGTACTGCGGCATGGCTTTTTTAGTACTTCTTTTATAAGTAAAAACATTATATATATTACGCCCCTTTTTTTTAATAAAAAATAAATAAATAAATAAAGAGATATTGATAAAAATTATACACAATATATTTTAAAAGTTACTGAAAAATACTTGCAAATTTAGATAATGTAAACAAAAAATGTTTACAACCACAATATCTTTCCGTAATCCCAACCAACAACATTTCTTCGAAGTATATGTATCATGAAACAATTTTGTGGGTGGTACCGAATGACGTAAATCTCTGAAATTATCTGCATTATTAACGATATTTTCCAAGCCATTAAAGCGTCAAATTTCAATAAATTATAATTATATAAAGTTGATACCGAAAATGACATACTTGCGTTGAGTTTGGGAAGGTCACAAGTTTTAATATGATATATATTTATTTTTATATTATTATTTTAAAAAAGAAAAGCATTCGTTTGCATTTTCATTTTTTTTTTTTATATCTTTATAGGTTTTTGATCGCATCGAACTCTTTTCTATTTTTTTTTTTTTTTTTCGAATCTTCTGATTGTTTTTTTCTTTTTAATCATTAAAATTCGATCGCAATTGAATGATATTTCTATTTTTATTTGATTTCTTATTATACTGTATTTACGTTTTATTTTTATTTTTATTTTTAGAATAATCGCCAATGTTACTGATCATCTATTATGATGATAGCGTTTTCATTATAAATTTTAATATACATTATATATAATATACGGGTATGCTACGAAATCTCGAAATCCAAAATCTCGAAAAGCCAAAATCTCGAAACTCTAAATCCCGAAAGGTCCAAAATCTCGAATTCCAAAATCTCGAAATTCAAAATCCCGAATGGTCATGAGAATTACTTTGAATTAGTATGTCGCGGGTGAGTCACGGGAAATTAGCAATATATGTCGCGGGTGAAACTCAGGTTATCTGAAAATAATCTTGCTGAAATTTTTTTTCATTTATTTGTATAAGCAAAACTCCCTACGATTGAAATTTTTTTTTCATTTATTGTATAAGTAAATATTAAATTATCAATAAAATAATTGCGATTTTAACGACTTTTGTAGTGAAAAAATTTTAATAATAGTTTTGGTATTGTCATGCCGTAATATATGCCTTAATCAGAAAGCAATCTTAGTTATACCCAAACCAACATCAATACGATACAATAAAAATATAATGTGCTGAAATTTTGGAAAAATTGCTTAACCTTTAGAAATTTGTAACTATTATAATTCAAACCGATTAATGGAATGGTTATATTAATCAATTTTTTTAATATTAAAGTATTTATTATTGGATGAGAATAAACAATATTCAAAAAAAATCAATTATACACAACAAATTCAACAAACCTTGCGGAATATACCCGTTCGAGTGATTGATTGATGCACCGCTTCGATGTAAAGAAACACATTAATTGTTTAGTTAGAATTTATGTCTTACTGTACTAAGACATAAATTTTCTTTTTTAAAAAAAATATTTGTTTTTGCATGACAAACTTAACATTTGGTTCAGTATTTGCGGGGATGTTAACACAAGGAATACTTAGTCCCGTTATGCCTATAAGAAAATAAGTATTGGTATGGTATGTTATCAAATGCGGAAAATATTAAATATGATAAATACCTTGTGTACTTATATGATAGTTAGCAATGAATTAATTTAAACATGACCCATTACAACTGAAAGGCAAATTTGATCATCGGATGACGAGATTTTGATTTATCAATTTACTTTTCAAACTATATAATGAAATAAATGAGTTAATGATAGAATAATATGAAAAGAATAAATTTTGTAAAAGTTTGTATTAAGGAAAATACGAAAAATATATAATTTAATACCGAAAGGATTTGATTGAAAGATCAACACTTGGACATCGTGGGTAGAAAATTTCGGAAGGAATTGATAAACAACTGTAAAAGAGGAATTTGTTAGAAAATGTTGGTTTAAAAAACAAGCACTATACTAAATGAACTTAATAAAGAATAAACACTCCTCATCGCACTGAACAAACTGTAATAAAAAATAATTGGTTTTAGAAAAGAGTGAAATGTAAAGGAATTACAAAAAAAATGAAACGAAGAAATGAGATCTTTGCTTATTAGAGGGATAATCATAACATCTTACAACGGAAGCGAACTTCAACCAGAATAATTTTGCTTCGAAATCAATAGACTTCTCCAAGGAGCATGACCACTTGATGGGATCAATAAATGACTTTCAAGGATCACGACCACTTACAACGGGATCGATTTCATCCAAGAAACACAATTCTTGGTGAGAGTCAAGGATCACGACCACTTACAGCGGAATCGATTTCATCAACATTCAATATGAAACGTTTGATCAATGAACCATAAATTTTATTCCAATGGTTGTTAAGCAAAATAATAACAAATAGTACAAAAATTGTTCAAGCACAAAAAAAAAAAATCCATCGACTCACTTTAAAAATAACTTTAAAAACTCATTTTGAATTACTGAGAATATGTCGCAAAACAAGCTACAAGTGAACTGAATTCT